GAAGAGCAGAAGGGCAGGTGGGCAAATGCAGAGAAGAGAAGAGAGGGGCAACTGTGCTCTGTAGCAACTCACTGTCATGGTAACCCAGTACCAAGAGAGGAGATGATGTATATCTTTTTTCTCTTCAGTCCTGGGGTTGGACCCAGGCCTTTCACACAGAACTACATGTCCAGCTGTTTATTTAAAAAAAATTTTTTTTGAGACAGGATCTTGCTGTGCATTCTAGGGTAGCCTTGAACTCACTATATAGCACAGGCTGGCCTTGAACTCACAGCAATCTTCCTGCTTCAGCCTCCTTAGTATAGGGATTAGAGATGTGTGCCACCATGCCTGGCATTTTTTTGTTTGTTGCCCAAGCTGGGCTTGAACTTATATCTTCCTGCCTCAGCCTCTCAGAATGCTGGGTTTACAGATGTGTGCCGCTACACCTGAAAGGAGATGCAGTATTATAACTAGTGGCATTTTATTACTTTGATGAAGATGCAAAAAAAGAAATTTTTTTCTATTTGCATAGATTTTTCTCTTAAATTTTGTTTTTGTTCTGGTTGCAATGCTGATGTAATTTTATTGGAGAAAAATTTGGAAATGGTAAATGGGGCCATTTATCATTTCTATTTCTGACCTATTTTGGCTTTTTTAAGGCTATACTTGAGTTTCTAAAGGATAATAGCTTCTGAGTCTTTATGACATAGGACAGAAAAATGTATGAAAAGGGAAAACTGATACTTTTTTTTTTTGGCTTATATGTAAATAGCTTGGATTTTAAATCTGAAGTTCCTAGGAAGGGTTAGAAAGGAGTAAATGTTGCCATCTGTGGGGATTGTTTTGGGCCTATCACAGCTCAGCTGATTGACTCAACTTTGAGTCACAACACAGCAAAAGGGAGTGGGTGAGACAGGTCTGTTAATGCTTCTTCAGTTGATCAGCTGAGGAGATGTGAGGCTTTGACAGCTGTCAGCCTCAGGGGAGAGAGTTTCTGTGCTACTGTAGGTATGAGTCTTACAGCAATTTATTTACTCGGATGTTTTAAAAACCCCCTAAGACTTTAAAAGAAGACTATGATTTTATTTTATTTGAAATACAGATGGATCTAATGGCAGGTTAGTTTTCATTAGAACAGTACAAAATACGGACAAAATCCCTCTGTGTGTCACAGCGGGAAACTATCACATATTAAAAGGAGCTAGTGTTGTTCATTTGCCATTTTGTTGAGTTTTTGAATGAAGATAAGTATGGTTGGCATCCTCATCCTTGCTCACTGAATATGTGTGTTAAATACACATAAAACCTTGAATTGTTCATTGTTGTTTATTTATTTATTTTTGGTATCAGGGATCGAACTTCGGTCCTTGCGCTTGCGAGGCAGGCGGTAGAACCACTGAGCTAAATCCCTGCCCCCGCTGTTGCTTATTTTAAAATAGCTTTTCTTATTCTGTATCTGGCATTTAAAATTTTTTAGTATATGTGCTGCCTTTTAATATTTCATATTAATTTTAGCTGGCAACTTCTCAGTGAATATGAATTAAAGGGTAATTTGTCATTTGTGAATTTAGTAAGTACTTTTTTTGGATAGTCTCCAGTTAACATTGGAACATTGGTTTAATTTTTATGTGTGTGGAATTTTTTTTTTTTGGTACCGGTGATCAAACTCAGGACCTTGTGCTTGCGAGGCAGGTGGTGGAACCACTGAG